TTACAAAACTGCATACTCAATATTTTTCTAAGAAATCGAATTGAAAAGTTGACAATTTTTATGAAAATTTTTTGGTCTTGAATTTTCCCGAGTTCTATATAAAATTGAAAAAATTAATTCTGTTGGTTTTTGCCGTAGAATGAACTATACATTTATAAAAAAAAATAAAACCGTCAAAATGTCGGGGTATTCATATTTTTCACGCTGACTATATATACATATGTATGTTCGTATATACACATGTACTCACTCAGATAGAGGGCTACACATGGCAACAAATTTTTAAACACTTGTTTGAATGCTAGCATCTGATCCAACAGAGTGCACCCGGCATCATAAAAAAGTTGGTTGTTTGATGTGTGTCAATGGAGTTGGCTGAAGCGATGAACGCCCTGTAGGGAAAATACGCGGTGTGGCTTTTGTTGGATTAAGACATGTTGCCGCTATTCCGTGTGGAAAATTAACTTTGAGACAAAATCTAATAAATATCTTGGGAATGAAAACAGTATTTTGAAGCTCTTAAAATGGAAAATTCGCAAAAAATAGTTTTGCTGTATAGGAATATTATCTTCACCATTAAAATGGCCATCAAATCTAAGAGTTTTTAAATTCTTTTCTTTTTTTGACTTCAAAATAATTTGCAAAGATCTTTTATAAAGATATAAGCATCAAAGAATCCATTTTATTAGTCGCCAAAACTAAAAAACGCATTTCAAGATATGCAGTTGTTGGTTAAAAAAAAAAGGTAACAACCCATAATTTTTCTTTTCGAGGTCAAAGTAGTTTCTATTCAATTAAACTTTAAAATTACCTTCAAAAGGGAATTTTTAAGCTAAGCGGTAACGCCCTCCTGTTTCTAAAGCCGTGTCTAAGTAGTAGCTGCAATTTCAGCAATAAGAAAAAAGCCAAAGACATAAGAATTTAAGAACGAAGTGAAGAAGAATAAATTCAATACCTGGAATTTTATTAAAGGAATTTATTCAATTTGTAAAAAAAAGTAGCAGAAATTTTAATTTTGACTAGTAAAAAGTCAGTTGACAGTCAAATCCTGCTAATGAATTCGCCGAAATGCAGACAATCGAAAGCTAGTTCGTCAACTTCTCCGATTTAAATTCTGGGCGCGACGACGTCGAATTTATTTACTAGCTCAGAACTACTCAAAGTCCACAAAATCTGAACTACTATGTACTCCATTAAATACCTTTGAAGCTAGTGACGAGTTAAGGTAGTGCAAAATTTTAAACTTATTTCCTACTGGGTATTTACAATTGAAGTGCAAGTGTAATTAGCTGCTATAAATGCTCGTGTTGGAGTGGCAAAGGTTTAGTGTAAATTGATGGTTTAAAAAGAAAATCTACGGTTATCGCCACCCAAGCTACGATTTCAGCTAATTTTCCTATGCAAATGTGAATGCGAAAGCGCCAAGAACGGTGTGCAATGCGCTTGTGCATATAAGTATACATATATACAAATCCATGTACTTACATACATATGTACATATGAAAAAATGTAAATACAAATTTGTATGTGTGTCGTCAGATAAATGGGCGTACATACGAGTATGTTTGAGACAGCCAGCAATTAAATGCACATGTTGTTATTGCACTTTTTTTTTGTTTTTCTCACAGATGGATTTTGCTTTTGCTGAATTGCACTGCTTCACACTGTGGTGCTAATTTTTTGTTGTATTTTTATTTAAGTAGGTGGTAAGCTTTACTGTATTTTCCGCTATAGTTTTTTTTTTTATAAAAACTTAAAATGTATCTATTGTTTTTCTGGTTTTTGTATTCCATGCGTGCTTGTAAGTCAGTGATTAGTTTTTTTATTTTTTGCACTGCTACCAAATTTATTTCATCAAGCCTTTTATTTTGAATTTTTATTTTTTAACTCCAAATTTGCTATTTCATAGGTTTAGTATACGATATGTGAATACTGACTTCTTGCATAATTACAAAAAAAAAACACTCACTTAGTCATCGAGTCTCACTTCCCTACTTCCACTTCTCCACAAACTTCACCTTAAAAAATGGCCTCTACTAGTAACTGCAATCGCTGCTCGCGCACTAAGTAAGCACCTGCTCACCTAACTTGGCCTAAGTGGTGATGGAGGCCCTCGTTCTACTCAGTGTTTTCGGTCAAAGTGGGCTAATCGTGCGCCCGTTATCTCAACTGCTTAAGCGTTCTTAGTTAAATACATTTGTTGGTAAGTGCACATATACATACATACATACATACGTACTTGTAAACATACATATATATTTTTGTTAGTGCTTTCAATGTCTCCAGTTATTTCACGCTTCAAATTATTTCTGATTTATTGTTAAATTTTTTTGTTATTGTCGTGTTATTTTAGTTTCATAAACTTTACTTTTATTGTTTTCTTTTATCTTATCACAGACTTGTTACTGATAAGGAATATGTATTTAGCTTTTGTTGGTGCTTACACTTTTATATTCAAAGACACGTTTTTATTGTCTTAAAAATATTTTAAGCCAATTCGTTTTCCGGTGATCGTTTTCGTCATTTTACTTTTGCTTGACTAAATATACATATTTGTATGAGTTCTATACTTAGTTAAATTTCTGTTACTCTTGAACACTTTTTAAGTACAAATAAATTTATTTCTGTATATACTAAGTACAAAATAGTTACACTAATTATTCCATCGCCAACAGTGCCAATG